ATATATATATATATATATATATATATATATATATATATATATATATATATATATATATATATATATATATATATATATATATATATATATATATATATATATATATATATATATATATATATATATATATATATATATATATATATATATATATATATATATATATATATATATATATATATATATATATATATATATATATATATATATATATATATATATATATATATATATATATATATATATATATATATATATATATATATATATATATATATATATATATATATATATATATATATATATATATATATATATATATATATATATATATATATATATATATATATATATATATATATATATATATATATATATATATATATATATATATATATATATATATATATATATATATATATATATATATATATATATATATATATATATATATATATATATATATATATATATATATATATATATATATATATATATATATATATATATATATATATATATATATATATATATATATATATATATATATATATATATATATATATATATATATATATATATATATATATATATATATATATATATATATATATATATATATATATATATATATATATATATATATATATATATATATATATATATATATATATATATATATATATATATATATATATATATATATATATATATATATATATATATATATATATATATATATATATATATATATATATATATATAATAATTTTTTTATTATCATTATTTTTTTATTATTATTTTTAGATTTTATAATGATTTAGATTTTGTTTAACAAGAGTTTCCTTCTGTAGTAAAATGGTCTTTTTCTCCAACATATTAATTGNGGTGTGCTATGNNNTGGACTGTCATCTTCAGGTGTTTTTTGTTAGATCAGTTTCAGTTTTGTTACTGACTTATCTGATGTTAATAAAAAAAAACAACAACATTGCATATGTCTGTTAAAGGCTCCGGTGCGTAAGAAGCGTCACCTGTCTGCTCTTCTGAAGAATACAAGTCTGCAGAAGCGAGATGTGAGCAAGTGGACGGGACACATGGCCTTCTCCAAAAGTGTGCTGAAGTGGCGTCTGATTGGTGAAGGATACAGCAGCCAGCTCTCCATCCAGGAGCAGAAATACATCTTCAGACTGGCCTTCAGAATGTGGAGCGAAATCTCACCGCTGCAGTTCATTGAAGATCTGCACTCGCCCCTGGAAAACATCGACATCCGGCTAGGCTTCGGCACGGGTCAGTGAACAAATATACAACCCCAATCAGAAAAAAAAGTTGGGACAGTATTGAAAATGCAAATGAAGTAAGACAGTAGTGATTTCGAAATGTACTTGTGTTTGATTGAAGACAACACAACAGTGGTAAAGTTTTTTTCTTGATTCGAGTCCAAATATCTACAAATTCTGAAATGTGCATTATGTAAGATCGACACCCAGTGGTTGAGCTAGGTATTGCACTCCTAGATCAAAACACTTCTTCACTTTTGGTGTGCCGCAGGTCGTCATCTGGGCTGCTCTCAGCGGTTTGACGGCGCTGGTCGAGAGTTTGCTCATGCCTGGTTCCTCGGTGACATTCATTTCGACGATGATGAACATTTCACCGTCCCAAACACAGGGAGCGGCATCAGTCTGCTCAAGGTAATGCAAAACTACACAACAAACACAGATGGTTTGCTGATCAGTGTGTTTCAGAGGAAGCAGATGTTAATGTGTGTTCACGCTGCTGAACTGACTGGGTTTTATTCAGGTAGCGGTTCATGAGATCGGCCATGTTTTAGGGCTTCCTCACATTTACCGTCCCGGATCCATCATGCAGCCCAGTTACCTTCCTCAGGATGCCGGCTTCGAAATCGATTGGATGGACCGCAAATCTATCCAGAGGCTGTACGGTGAGCGTGTACTATTGCAATATCGCTATATTTTGCATTCCACATTTTGCACTTTGCATTGCTTATTTGATACTTTATCAATCTTTTTTTTTATATTTTGCATTGTGTTTTTTTATTTTTTATTTTTTATTTTGCATTGCATATTTTGTGTTTTGCATTATATTTTTTTTGCATTGCATATTTTATATTTTGCATTTTACAATATCTTCCATTGTAAATTTTGGAATATTTTTATTGCACATTTTGTATTTTCCATTGCACATTTTGCCATATTTTGTAATGGACATTTTATATTTTAGAATATTTTCTATTGTGCGTTTTATATTGTGCATTGAGTTTTTTTAATCACAATTTTTTTTATTTTGCATTGCATATTTTATATTTTGCCATATTTACATGGAATATTTTGTATTTTGCATTATTTTAAATGTAAATGTATTTTCCATTGCACATTTGTATATTTTGCATTGTTTTTATTTTGCATTGCATATTTTGTAGTTTGCAATATTATTCATTGCATATTTCAAAATGTGCAGTATTTGGCATTGCACATTTACTATTTTGCATTGCTCCTTTTAAAATAGATTTTGCATTGCAAATATAGTAATTTTGTTAAACATTTTGTATTTTCCATTGATCATTTTAGATTTTGCTATTTTTCCATTGCACATTTTTCATGTTGCAATATTTTGCATTGTGCATTTTGCAGTTTTTTTATTTTGTATTGCATTTTTCCATTGTACATTTTAGATTTTGGCCTTTTTTGTAATTTAAAAATACCATGTAAGAATATTTTGCATTGTGTTTTTTATTTTGCATTGCATAATTTATATTATAAATGTATTTCCCATTGCATAATTTGTATGTTGCCATATTTTGCATTGCACATTTAGTATTTTGCATTTCTCATTTTAGATTTTGTCATCTTTTGCACTGCACATTTAATATTTTGCTATATTTTTCATCGTGTTTTTTATTTTATTTTGTGTCACATATTGTGTTGGTTGCAATTTTATTTTTAAATTAGCAGTATCTTGCATTGCACATTTACTATTTTGCATTGCTCTGTTATTATAGATTTTAAATAGCAAATTTAGTGTTTTATAGTAATCTTATTACATATTTTGTATTTTCCATTGATTTAGATTTTGCCTTTTTTCTAATGTACATTTTATAGGTATTGTGCAATTTATATTTTGCATTGTGCATTTTGTATTTTGCTTTTTTTTTTTAATTTTGCATTGCATATTTTTTATTTTGCATTGCTCATTTTATATTTTGACAAATTTTACACAGCATTTTTATGGCACAATTTGTATTTTCTATTACTTATTTTAGATTTTGCAATATTTTGTGATGTGTTTTGCCATACTTTGCATATTTTTAGTTCATTATCTTTTTGGCTTAGTCCCTTTATTACTCAGGGGTTGCCACAAACCCACGCCATCATGGAGAGAACACTTTGCATATTTTGCTATATGTTTCATTGCACATTTTGCATTATTGAAGTGTCAATGAGATTTTTTTTGAAAGTAAATGAAATAGTGTAGCTGCAGATGAACTGTTTCTGTGGAGTTCACCCCATAAAGTCATTGGTCCACCCTTTACACAGCACCTCCACGTTTTCTGAATTTGATTATAATGTACTAACCTGCTTTAACATGGTTTTCTAATAGTTTTGTGTGTGTTTATCTGTCTCAGGAGTGTGTACGGGTCGCTTCAGCACCGTGTTTGATTGGATCAGAAAGGAGCAGACGCCGTACGGTGAGGTGGTGGTGCGTTTTAACACATACTTCATGCGGGACGGCCTGTACTGGCTCTACGAGAACCGCAATAACAGGACGCGTTACGGGGACCCAGTGGCGGTGCAGGTGGGCTGGCACGGGCTGCCCTCTGGGGGTGTGGATGCTTATGTGCACGTCTGGAACAGAAAAACAGATGCTGTCTACTTCTTTAAAGGTACTTATTTACTTCTTTTTTTGTATGCCATTTTTTTCATGATATATTTATATTATGCAATATACAATTGTATTTTGCAAATAAAATTATTGTTCATTGTTGCATTTTAGATTTTATTTTTGATTATTTTGCATTATATATTTGCATAGGTTACATTTGTAAAGTGCATGATTTCCCATTTGCACAAGTGTTTTTGTGCTACTTTTTTATTATTATTATTATTATTATTATTATTATTATTATTATTATTATTATTATTTTATCTTTGGCATGATTTTGTATTTGTATTATTATTATTAATATAATTTTTTTCATGACTTTGCATGATTATAATAATAATAATAATTATTATTATTATTTGCATGATTTAGCATTTATTTTATTATTATTATTATTATTATTAATAACAATAATAATAATAATAATATTTTATTAATATTTTTGCATGATTTAGCATTTATATTATTATTATTATTATTAAAAATTTTGCATGATTTTGCATTTGAATTATTATTATGATTATTATTTTTTTATTTTATTTACTTTGCATTTGTATTATTATTATTTTATTTAGTTTTTTTGCATGATTTTGTTTTTGTATTATTATTGTTATTATTATTATTATTATTACATTTTTTGCATTATTTTGCATTTGTATTAGTATTTTTTTTATTAATATTATTATTTATTATTGTTATTGTTTTTGCATTGTGCATTTTATATTTTGCATCACAGATTTCTTATTTTGCACAATTTAACATGTTGTATTTGGCACTATTTTTCATTGCTCTTGTTGTATTTTGCAGCTTGCGTGTGATCCTTCATGATATCAGAATTGTTTGCTATCACATATGCATAAGCATTATTTGAGCAGTGTGATAAAGGGTGAATGTGTGCATGTTTCAGGTATGCAGTACTGGCGTTATGACAGTGAGAATGATCATGTGTTCAGTCATGCTCCAGACGGACGCTTGTATCCTCGTCTGATCTCTGAAGATTTCCCCGGTGTATCTGGACCGCTGGACACGGCGTACTACGACAGAAGAGACGCTCACATCTACTTCTTCAAAGGCTCACAGGTAATGCATTTCAACACGTCTGGAATTGGTTTTATTTTATAGATTACTCAAAGGTGCAAAGATCGAGAGTCTGACCACAAGAGTGCTTAACAGTCAGGGACGGCATCGTACAATGAAGAATATAAAAACTGCCACCAGAAACATCCACACAAATATGAAATATGATCAGCTCTAGGAAGGCGACATGGTAAAACAGAGGTGAGCACTGTGGTCTCACAGCAAGAAGGTCTCTGGTTCGAGTCCCAGCTGGGTCAGTTGGTGTTTCTGTGTGGAGTTTGCATGTTCTCCCCGTGTTGGTGTGGGTTTCCTCCGGGTGCTCCGGTTTCCCCCACAGTCCAAACACATGCGCTATAGGGGAACTGATCAACTACACTGGCCGTAGTGTATGAGTGTGTGTGTGTGAGAGAATAAGTGTGTATGGGTGTTTCCCAGTACTGGGTTGCAGCTGGAAGAGAATCCGCTGTGTAAAACATATGCTGGAATAGTTGTTGGTTCATTCCACTAATAAATATGCAACTAAGCTGAAGGAAAATGAATGAATAAACTTTAACTGTTAAAAGTTATTAGTTAATTAGTTAAAGTAATTATGCTGTATATAAACATAGTTAACCTGCAGTTATAGTGTTTGTACACTGTCAAAATATCCATAAATGAGCAGTTTTTCATATTCTGTGATTGATGTTTTTATTTTTCTCCATTCATTTCTGCTTTAGAGCTGCATTATGGGGTCTTGATCTTTCCTCAAACAGATTTTAACCCTAAAGAGTTTGTAATAAGTGTGTTTTCTGCACATCTGTAATAGTGCGCAGTGCTGTATTGTGTGTGTCTGAACACATCGAGTATAAACCAGGCTTTAGGCAGTGGAAATGCAGGCCAGATAAAGGTAAAGGTGACCAGTACCGACCTGTGCTGTATCGTACTGCACCACTCAGTGGAAACAGGCCAACATATGAGGAGTTCAAATGCAAAAACCTGTAAGTGCCACCTGAAATTTTATTCTAAAATGACCATTTTTCTGAGACCCCTTTTGTTTTCGTTTACTTATTTCACAATAAAGGCAATGAAAATAACACATTAATTGAAATAAAGGAAAATTATTCAACTTATACCTAGGATCTTGAGAAAAATGCTAATTATAGGAGAACATTCAGATGGCACTTTTCATATACAAATTCTGAAATGTGCATTATGTAAGATCGACACCCAGTGGTTGAGCTAGGTATTGCACTCCTAGTTCAAAACACTTCTTCACTTTTGATGTGCCGCAGGTCGTCATCTGGGCTGCTCTTAGAACTCTTCATATGCTCTTCTTAAATGTCTGGGTAAAAAACAACAACTTTTCCCCTTCTGAACACAATATATTTTATTCAATTCAATTCAATTCAGCTTTATTTGTACAGCGCTTTTACAATGTAGATTGTGTCAAAGCAGCTTCACATAAATGGTCATAGTAACTGGAACAGTGTGGTTCAGTAACTGGAACAGTGTGGTTCAGGTTTTAGTGTTTAAGTTCAGTTCAGTTCAGTTCAGCTTAGTTCAGTGTGATTTAATCATTACTGAGAGTTCAAACACTGAAGAGCAAATTCATCGATGCGTAGCTCTACCAATCCTGAACCATGCGAGGCAGTGGCGACAGCGGAGAGGGAAAAAAAACTTCACCTGATGGGAGTGAAGAGAAAAAAACCTTGAGAGAACCAGACTCAGTTGGGCACGACCATTTTAATTTCTCCGCTGGCCAAAAGTTTTTACAGGCCAAAAATTTTACTTTGAGAAACATTAATAATATTTTGCAGCAGTGAACATGACAGGCTGAATAATTCAAATTGACTTCTGCCGTCTGCATTAGTTTCAAAAACACTCATTTATTTACAATTGAAAACGGCGTCTTTGGTGATTTTTTTTCTGCTGGAGAAACTGCTGTCCTAAAACAAAACTTAAATAAAAAACCTCACACTTACCTTTGGAACGGTATTACCAACGCAATCTCACGGCAATTCGTAACTTTTTAATTTTAGTGGCTAATTCATATAAATTTAGTTTGTATACAATTTAGTACGATTTGCTCATCACCCAATGATGGTTGGGGTCAGGGGTGGGGTTGGGTGCCACGCCTCCTTTTTTAAAATCGTATATTTTCGTACGACTAAACTCATACACAAACTCGTACGAATTAGCCACTAAATTAAATACTTATGTTTCGTCGTGAGATCAGGCTGGTATTACAGGACATTTTGGCGGTTTTAAAACCTTGACTTTTCCAAACCGCGGTATACCTTGAAAATGTTTATCGTCCCATATAGTGATGTCTGTCTGTGCATATTCAGTGTTATACAGTAAGTGCAATATGAATATTGCCATTAAAGGCAATAAAAATAACATATTAATCGACATAAAGGGGAAATTACTCAACTTATACCTAGGATCTTGTGAAAAATGCTAACTATAGGAGAAAATTCAGATGGCACTTAGAGGTTTTGCATCTAAACTCTTCATATGCTCTTAAATGTCTGGGTAAAAAACAACAACTTTTCCCCTTCTGAACACAATATATTTTACTTTGAGAAACATTAATAATATTTTGCAGCAGTGAACATGTCAGGCTGAATAATTCAAATTGACTTCTGCCGTCTGCATTAGTTTCAAAAACACTGATTTATTTACAATTGAAAACGGCGTCTTTGGAGATTTTTTTTCTGCTGGAGAAACTGCTGTCCTAAAACAAAACTTAAATAAAAAACCTCACACTTACCTTTGGAACGGTATTACCAACGCAATCTCACGGCAATTCGTAACTTTTTGATTTAGTGGCTAATTCATATAAATTTAGTTTGTATACAATTTAGTACGATTTGCTCATCACCCAATGATGGTTGGGGTCAGGGGTGGGGTTGGGTGCCACGCCTCCTTTTTTAAAATCGTATATTTTCGTACGACTAAACTCATACACAAACTCGTACGAATTAGCCACTAAATTAAATACTTATGTTTCGTCGTGAGATCAGGCTGGTATTACAGGACATTTTGGCGGTTTTAAAACCTTGACTTTTCCAAACCGCGGTATACCTTGAAAATGTTTATCGTCCCATATAGTGATGTCTGTCTGTGCATATTCAGTGTTATACAGTAAGTGCAATATGAATATTGCCATTAAAGGCAATAAAAATAACATATTAATCGACATAAAGGGGAAATTACTCAACTTATACCTAGGATCTTGTGAAAAATGCTAACTATAGGAGAAAATTCAGATGGCACTTAGAGGTTTTGCATCTAAACTCTTCATATGCTCTTAAA